TTCATTGGCAATTCAATATTTCTTCAACTGAGCCTTGTTAGTTTAGAGAAGACTTTTCAAAGCCATTTTGCGTGAGACATTTAGACCATCAGCTTTCAAAAATAGACTTCAAAAAAAGTCAGTCATAGTTTATTCTCACCTTCGACTGTTTTGCTAGTCTATGATATTATTCCCTGCTCATTTTGTGGGATTTTCAAACACTGAATTATTGTAGCTATCTCACATCTATGTTTAATATTAAAAGTAATATCTTACTTTCTGTAGTATTAAGGTTATATGGAAGATTTCCTGTCTTATGCTTATTAGCTCTTGCTTAGATTTATTAACACCATCTTATATGTGGCTTTTGTTTAGTAGGAATACCTGTAATTTCAAATATGTGTTTCCCTGATGCTGTTATAAAGAAGACCAGATTGTGCAATAGAAATGTGATGAAACCTATAACATTGCCTTTTTTTTTTAACAATCAGGTATCAAATCACCAAGAACACACACAATTTAGGCAACTGCTTTTCCACTGAGCAACATTTTAGCCAGATGTTGTGAAAAATTTTTAACTATGTAAAAATATTTTTCATTTATGTTGTAGAATATTTCTTGACCTCTGTAAATATGAGTTACATTTGTATAAGTATGTCAAGATGTAATGCTCTTTTACCTTGACTTCCTAAGGCACCCGTATGTTCTAATAAAACGCTGAATGATCAATAGTAAGGGAGGAACTATAGGTGGCACTTCTGGGCAAGGAGAATGGGTAGGAAGGAGGAATACAGATTCCCAAGAAGAAAGAAAAAGAAATGACAGAGAGAGACCATGGACCGTGCATAGGAAAAAGGAAAGAAGGTCATACAGAATGAAAGAAAGGTAAATATTGTATATGAATAGAAACAAATTAAATTTAGTTAAGATATAGTGGAACAAGCCTAAGCTAAAGCTGAGCCTACATAATAATAAGTAGTCTCTGTGTTTTTATGTGGGAGCTGGCTGGTGGCACAAAGAAAATTCCAACTATACAACACTGAATTTAAATTTGTTTCTTTGAAGCACTCATCCCTTATTCATACAGGTAGTACATTTACTGACTTCTCTCCAAAGTATTTTAAGTTCTTCCTCTTCAATCAGCTTTGGGTTGGGCAATTCTGCAATATTTTCTTTGAATATATACATATATATGTATGGAGAGAGAGAGAGAGAGAGAGAGAGAGAGAGAGAGAGAGAGAGAGAGAGAGAGAGAGAGAGAGAGAGCGAGAGCAATGAGGGCCATTTCAATATCTCACAGAGTTGCCTTTAAAACATTTTGTTTTGTTATCTTACATATGTTTATCATTTTATATTTGAGTAACATGGATTCATTTTACATATTAATAGTTTATGCTATTCCAACACACACATAGATTGTATATCCAAATACAATTTCAATGATTTTTATGCTAAAAACAAAAATTTTGTGTTTCTGACTGACTTTGAAGATACTGCATTTTGACCATAAGAATTTGATATTTGGGGGCTGAGAATATACAGCTATATTTGCCATTTTAGAAGTAGTTGCAAGAAGATATGTTTAAGGTTAGCCTGTGCGATATAGTGAGACTGTTCCAAAAACAAAAGCAAACTAAATAACAAAAATAATAACAATAAAAAGATGTTGAACTGAATACATATGAGAAATGACAACTTCAAAAACAAAGTATTTATTTTCTACTATTATTTTTCTATGTTTAATTGATTGAATTTTGAGTATGTGATTGATAAGTTTTGTATTATTAAATTTTGTCATAGTTGATATGTTTCCCAATAAATCATAAAATGGAGGTATAGCTCAGTGGTAGAGCATTTGACTGCAATAAATCATAAAATTTTAACAATGTTTTTTGTTAATATATTTTTCTTGGTATATGAAACACTGAAATATATTTAAAGCTTAAGATTATATAGTATATATATATTACATAGTATACTTTATTATATAGAGTATATATTATAAAGCAGTGTAATTTCAATTCTTACACATCCACATACAAGATTCTTGTATGTACAGTGAAATAATGTAAAGTTATAACATTAGAGTGATACTTTGGAGACATAATTGTGAGTTAAATTTAATCCAGCTTTCTTCTAATTGGTTTTACGTATTAATGTTTATGTATTTTTATACTGCACATCATTTCCAGTAAATCTCAATGTAAGTAACAGAAATGAAGTTGCTTCTCTTGAATTACCTATTCAACATGTATGTATGATAAAACTGCCTGAGGCTGGGTAGTTACATTTCTAGTGTGGCTTCAAGAGAAATGAACGTATAACCTTCCTCCTACCTAATCACAGAAAGTATTTGAATATTGTTAGAACTACTCACATTCATCCTATATGAATCACATATTATGTCATTCTATAATAAGCATTTTAATAACACAATGAAGTCATCTAAAACACAGGTGGATAATACTTCAGACACCAAACTATCCCTTTACAAACTGCCTACATATCATAGATTAGAATTATGCTTGAGGAATAAGGATGATGAAAAATATCACTGAAGTCCTTTGCTGAAGTCCATTGTAAAGATGGTTTACAATGCTGAACATTGTAAAAGAGTCAAATTATATTTTTGTGTACTTTAAAATTAAGAGGCATGTTTTAGCATAGCCTTTCTCATTACACTTCACAGAATTAGAAGCAAGAGAACATGTTCATTTAGCTGTTTTGCTACACATATCACAAACTCATTAAGATATACACACAGACAAAATAATTCAAGGTCATGACATATATGCAGCCATTACTTTTTACTAATTCTGGTCTGGAAAATTGTTGTACTGATAATTTGAATACTAGAAGTACCTAAAGATTAATGTAAGATGAATTATTCAGAGCCACGTGCAAGCAGAGAAACAATGTAATAAAAGAAGATCTGAAGCTCTTCAGTTCTTCAGGTACAGCATTTGATTTTTGAGGCTGACATTTCTTGCAGTTGTAGCAGTTTTTTTTTTAAATATACTTAGGGAATTTTACGTACGCATTATGAGTTAAAGTACTTAAGTTGGCAGTTGTTTTAATGTTGACACAAGTGTATGTTCTAACTAATATAAGGGATGTGGTATCAGGAAAAGTTAGCTTTTGATTTTGAATACAGAATTATTCTATTCCTTATATTTCACTGAATCCAGCAACATAATTCAATGCAAACATGTAAAGTGGGTGGATAAATCTGTTTCTAGATGGATATATAGCCAACATATTCTTTTGATAAAATGCTTTCAAATATATGTCTATAAGAATTTTAAAATATATGCAATATATTTCAGAACATTAAAACCAGTCTATACAGATGTTTAAATATAAAATACCTGGTATAAAAAATAAACTTAGGAGTTTGATCTATTTAACAGATTAACATTTTGTAGCTGTTTCTAATTTACTCAAAAGAGAAAATCAGTAGGCAGGACATACTTGAAAACCACAGAACATAGACATTTTTTAAAATGAATTCAGGTTAACACTTATTAAAACAAGGCCAGTTCATTTTCAAGAAAAACACTGCCAAAATATATTTGTATTTTTATATAAGAAAGTTCAAGAAGATGTCTACATAAAAGTATTAATATCTCTTACTGAAATTGTTTATAATATAATCAGACCATATTTCCACCTAACTATAGTAATTTAAGGTTGTATTCTAGGTGTTTTCATCATCCTAATTACTTTTGCACAGAACTCAGATTTGCTCTTTATACTTAGTACCATTAAAAGGATAACCTATTATAAATTTCTTTTAAAAACATTTAGCAAAGTTTTAATAAATTAGTTATTTTGAAGATTTTGAATCACTGGCTGCTATAACATTTTGCCTTCAGTTAACATAACTAGAAAAAGACAAATGATGTTTGTATTTCCAGATTCATTAATTGATATTTGTTCAAAGACTGAAGTAGACAAAGAAGATGCTGAAGCCCATTGGGCAATTATTACCTTTGAGACAAGCTCCAGATTTTAGTGATAATAAATCCCTAACAATCTTTTAATAACTTTTATTTGACAAGGATTTATTGTCCAAGCATGAGATGCACACACTGCACTAGTTCTTAAGCATTCAAAAGAGAATAAAGCAGCCCTAAACTTCACTTTGTACAAAGGCTAATGTTGATGATAAAATCCAAAAACTGTCAAGGTTGCAAAGCCAATTATTAACTATTATTCAATGCATATTTCTCTCACCTATTTTTCAACCCCTTTGTTCAAAGGCATAGTTTATTTTCTCAGTGGGCACTAACATGAATCCATGGAAAAGAAACCCGCAAAACACTATTTAACCTAGTAAAGACATGAGTATTTTTCACAATGAGGCCTAAAGAATAAGGAATACATAAGCAATTAAGAGAAAAGTGATATGTTTATTAGGAGACCCAAAAAGGTACCCCAGGTTAGGAAACTATAAAGGTTTCTGTGACTGTACAAAGTCCTAGTGGCTGGCTACAGGATTTCTCAGGGTTAAGTGACTGTATTCACTTGTCAGAACCCTAACAGAAGGCACACTTCATGACTATCAGGACAGAAAACAGACACCTTAAATTCTGGCAGAAAGGTCATATTCTCTCACTAACTGAAAATAAGAGTACATAAAACATACACACTAACGCAATTCCGTGTCATGACTGAGTATGATATGTCAACAATCTGGTCACAGCTAATTACAGTACATTTATAACTCTTTTTTGATACTTTCATCTATTCTTTAACTATTCATTCATTAATACAATATATCTTGACCATTTGTAATACTTTCATCTATTCTTCTAATATTTCATTCATTAATACAATGTATCTTGACTATTTCCATCACTGATCCCCTTCTTCAATTCCCCCAGTTACTTATTCTAGTATGTTTTTTCCATCTTCATGTCCTCTTTTTAAAAGTTTTACTTTTTAAACCACTGAGTCTAGTTAATAACCCTTATATCCAGTTGATTATAAGATGATACAGTGGAACAGAGACAACTTACCAGTGGGGACTCTACCATCAAAGAAAAGTGACTCTCCTCTCATCACTCATTGATCTTCAATGATTCCTCAGGCAGGAGTGGGGAATGTTGTCTATTCCTCCATGTATGCTATAAATTTTAAGTGTTAAATGTGAGCCCATTCAATGTCTTTTCTTCTAGATTTTTGAAATATATATATATATATATATATATATACACAAACTTGATTGTCCTGTAGCTTATTATAACTTCCTAGTATTGACAATTATATAACTGACTATTTTATCCACCTCTCAAGTCCTAAGACATAATGAACTAATACAAAGACTATGGCAGGGATATAGGAACATATATGGGATATGAAAGGCAGAAGTAACTCTTCATCACTGATCCAACCCCTCCTTTGTGCCCATTACCACTATTAGCATATATTGTTGAAATGTGTATAAACTCATAAACCATCAATCAGATGTCCATCAAGACTCAATACAATACCAAAGGCAATTAAAGTAAGTGACTAAAGACTTTGGAGGGTGGGGGCTGTGCAAGCACAGAGCCTCACACTCTTAACCTGCCATTCTACAATTTAATTGTAACTGGAAATAGCAGGAAATGTTAGAGCGTCCAGAGATTAGGGTCTGTCATCTAAATGCATCATTGTGCTTGCAAATGGGGTATAGACAGTTCATGAAAGAGGATGTGAACAACAAGAGGTCTCAGTGAGCATTTTTGAATCATTTAAGGAGAAAATATCATTACAAATTATTATCAAATGATATGATTTACATGACCATTTTTTACATGACTCCCCAGAGGATGATGTTTGTAGATTTAGCTGAATTAAGTAGAGCAAAAGTTTCACTGAGGAGATTAAAAGATTATGAATATGTAGTAGAGAGATGATTGGTACCATCAAGGTGAAGTGTATCAAAATCACTTGACCTTGTCTGGTTGAAAACTGGATTATAGAGAAGACAACTGATTTAGGATCCAAATTACTTCATGAATTCAGAGGTGTATTCACGCAGAATACTTATATTGAGAAGAAAAAGCTTTCATACTCTACTAAAAAAGATGTATATAGGATTTTAAATGGCTTTCAACTCAGATTTGACTAAAGCTCTTGATTCTTAAATATTTAGAACACATATTAACCTATATTTCAAAGTACAGTGACAGTAGCATTGTCACAACAGATTCAAAGCAGATTTAATTGTTTAATGAGAAATGCAGTATAATTGCTATAAAATTTTATAATGCTAATGAATAGTTATAAAAATGCTTTGCTTAAAGCCATTCTATTTTTAAATTTCTGAATATTTTATATGTGAGTAGTATATTTCTATACTTACTATACTTCCATATCCCCCTGTCGATTAGCCATTTGCTTTCAAATTAATAACCTCTATTTCTTTTTTACTGTTGCATAAATTATGTATATGCACACATAAAAATGTTGCTAATATTTGTGTGATTTGTGTTTGATTACTTGGGACAAGATAACGTACCAGGGCACTTGCCCTTGGAGAAAACTGATTTTCCTTCTCTCAGAAGAAATTGATGATTTGTCAATCATTTTCTCATGATGGGGCCTTGAGAATTTCTGTCATTGACATTGGCATATCAATTGGTGATGTTTTTAGGCAGGGCTTGTTTAGGTAACCATTCTGTTGAGACATCTTGGGTGCAGCTTTCTTGCCACATATAGAAGACATCTAACAGTTGTCATAGTTGGCTCTTTTAATATTTCTAAGTTTCCTTATGGGATATTTTTGTCTGCTTTAGGTCTAGAGGTTGTATAATAGGGCATCAGTTGCGTCTGCAGGCCCAATTTTCATCAGCCATTAATGCTTTTTTATATTTATAATTGCATTTTCAAAATACAACAATTGATTGAACTTAGATTTTTTTCACTTGATGTAATTATAGAGATGGAATGTATTTGATATGTGTAATTTTGTAGCATAATTTTGCCTCCTTCAGTTAGAAGAAACCGGGCTGGAGAGATGGCTCAGCCATTAAAGGCTAGGCTCACAACCAAAAATATAACAGTTAGAAGAAACCTATTGGTCCAGTGAGGGAGGCCTTCAGTATATGCTATGAAAGAAGTCCCTCAACATACTCCAAATTTGAAACCAGGTACAATTTAATAATTATCATATGTCCCTTGTTTATTTTACTGCACATTTCTTTTCTGTGTTTCTCATCAAATGGCTTCATTTGTTTCACACTTTGTAGGGTGGACATATAACAACTTAACACACTTCTTTGAGACCAGTGTAACTAGCACTAATTCACTGCCATTGACTACATGTTTTCTCATTTCTAAGAGTTTCATTATTGAAACAGCATGACTAATTGTCTGATTTTGTTCATATGATGTAGTTTATGTGTCTATGTGGGGCATGTATGTGTGTGTGTATGTGTGTATTGGAAGGAAAAGGATGCCAGAGTTAGAAGACAATGACTGTTTCAGATGCTGCTTACTCCTCAGTGTGTTGGTATGATGAACAAGCAGTAACAAAATATGTACTTTAAAATTAGAATAGAGGAAATAACTATTAATTCAATGTTATATCTCAAATTAAAATTTTAATTTCACTTATTATAATGCTTGGGAAAATGCCAGTTAAATTTGGCCAGTAAGACACTCATACCTGCTTCCACAAGAAATTATAAAACAGGCAATATAACCTTGATATTGCTTGTTTTATTACTTTAGTCAGAGACATAATCCCTTGGTTACTACAAAGAGCTAACACATTGTTAATAATTTCTTTTCAGTAGACAAATATGTACTTTGTCACGTAAAGAGAAAGCATATGTACACAGGGAGCAAAGAGATTGGACCCAGTGTAATCATTCAGTCATCTTTTTCTAGCTTTATGGAACTCTAAGAACCCTAATTGGGACACTTAATGAAAAACCTTAATGTTTTATTAAATGTTCTAAAATATATCCATGAAGTTAAAAAAGTTATGAGGTCTGAGTAAAAGCAAGGACTGAAGCAAGACATTGATAATCAGTTCTCTGAAGGTGAACTGGCAGCTGTCATTGCAGGGTCACATAGCAAAAGGAACAAGTGCAAAAAGGTGACATTTCCTAAGAGAATGCATTAGGGGAAAACATGGATTATATTTAGAGAAAACGTGTATAAAATGGTGATGTTAATGAAGTCTAGAATAAACAATCTCTTCTAAATACCAACTAGCACTGACCATTTACAACATCCAAAGATGTTATATCATAGGAGATTGGGTGAATCAAGATAGGTTCCATGAAACAACTGGGAAAGAGGAAAGGCAGAGATCGTTAAACAGGGAATAGGTAAAGGGGTAACAGGGAGGAATAAACAGCAAAGAAAAATAAGTAACAAAAGATGCTAGGAAGAGACATGAGAAACATTATATTATGATTACTTAAAAATTACTAGGTATGTGTATCTACAAAGTTTAATTACAGTTATGACCCACTACTAGTGTGATAATGCTTTCATTCAATAGTCATAGACTATCTAACAGAAATTTCAATGCAAAACAAGGAAACTTTTCTTTAAATTTCTGGTCAAGCGTTCCAAATATCTCTAATAAAATACATAGGTATAGTCATTACCCCTGATTGCTATCCAGAACTTTATGTTGTGACCAATTGTTAAGCTATCACATACTTTAGGCACAAGAATTGAAGAAAACAGGCTGAAAGTAAACTGGATTCCTTCTTCTTGATGAATAGTCATCAATGCTTTGGGAGGTAGTAGACACAAGAAGCCAGGAGAAAGATGTAATCATAGTCCTATTTAACCATGACCTATAAACCACAAAAATGACAAGACTGGTTCAAGTGGTGCTTTTATCTTTGGTCCTGAGGGTGATGAACAACTGTCTAATTGGATTTCATGTCATGTCAATAAGAACTAATCCATGTATGTCATATATATTTAGGAACTACCAATGACTGGAGAGGTCATTGTCCCTAGAGGAGAATATACTATTGCAATATTTAAGCCAAGGCAATTTCTAACTGTTCTAAAAATGTGTTCTCATTTCAATGGCTAGGTATAGGCTCACCCCTATCAGAGAAATGTCTTTTTGCCATAGATGGAGATCATAGCAGAGGACCACAACTAGTCAAAATGCAGAGAACAAATGACTGCTGTGTCTATAACTCCAATTGGTCCATTTATAATTAAACTCATACATATAAGGTTCAAGGAACACCTCAGAGAGGGAGAGAATGATTTTAATGACTCCAGATATGAAATAGTTGTACTGATGAAATCTTAAATATGTGGTTGCCTAAACAAGACCTGTGTAATGACATCATCAGTCCACATGCCAATGTATATGGGACAATTGCCACAAGGCTCCAACCCTAGGTAAAGAACTCCAGAGAATTAGTGACAATGGAGAGAGGCAACATCATTTTCTTCTGAAATTATTTTTCTGATAAGTTAATGAATCCCAAGTACCAGCCCTAAATGTATGTGCATAATTTATGTACATAGGGAAAGCACTAAATAATTCTGTGGTATGTATTTTATACATGAACATATATATACACTTTATGTATGAGAGTGTATTTACACATATGTATATATATAATTATTATGATAGAATATGTCTTAAATTTAAATAGTATAGCAGCCAGAAAATAAGTGGAAGAGAGGTTTCAAAAATGGTATAATTACAGCACTCATGTATTTAATTCTTAGAAAAAAGCACATTTAGATTCCTGTTTTGGCCCTCCACTTTCCAGTAGAGAGGTGAGTTCCAGGGCGTCTTCTAGCCCACCTTCCCCTCTTCATGCAAGTCCTCTGACCCAAAGCCACCAGACCCATACTGCTATTGAAACCCACAGAGAGACCTGGAGACAGAACAAAGTAGCCAGCTTCATAAGCCACAATTCCGGTCTTACCCCTCCACCCTCCAGTTGAAAGGTAAGTCCCAGGGCCTCTTCTACCCCACCATGCCCCCCTTTGAGTCTCCTGACCTGTGACCAATAGACCCCTTCTGCCAGCGAATTGTGTAGAGACCTGGAGGGAGAACAAAGCAGCCAGCAACATTGGTTACCATAGAAAGAGAGAGAGAGAGAGAGAGAGAGAGGAGACGAGAGGATAGAGCCTTGAATTC